TTGAAGATGAGTTCACAACTATCTCAGTAACTGATGGAGTATCTACTGAATCCACAGCAACAGATGGCATCAACACCATTATTATTACTGAAGACGAATTGTCTACTGCTGCTACCACTAAAGATGAGTACACAACTATTTCACTAACTGAGGGAGTATCGACTGAGGCTACACCAATTGATGGCATCACCACCATCATAGTTACTGATGATGAATCATCTACTCCTGCTACCACTAAAGATGAGTTCACAAATATCTCAGGAACTGGTGGAGTATCTACTGAGGTTAGAGCAACTGATGGCATCAACACCATTATTATTACTGAAGACGAATTGTCTACTGCTGCTACCACTAAAGATGAGTACACAACTATTTCACTAAGTGAGAGAGTATCTACTGAGGCTACACCAACTGATGGCATCACCACCATCATAGTTACTGATGATGAATCATCTACTCCTGCTACCACTAAAGCTGAGTTCACAACTATCTCAGTAACTGAGGGAGTATCTACTGAGGCTACACCAATTGATGGCATCACCACCATTATTATTAGTGAAGATGAATTGTCTACTGCTGCTACCACTAAAGATGAGTACACAACTATTTCACTAACTGAGAGAGTATCGACTGAGTCTACAGCAATTGATGGCATCACCACCATCATATATACTGACGACAAATCATCTACTGCTGCTACCATTAAAGATGAGTTCACAACTATTTCACTAACTGAAGGAGTAACGACTGAGTCTACACCAATTGATGGTATCACCACCATCATAGTTACTGATGAGGAATCATCTACTCCTGCTACCACAAAAGATGAGTTCACAAATATCTCAGGATCTGGTGGAGTATCTACTGAGGCTAGAGCAACTGATGGCATCAACACCAGTATTATTACTGAAGACGAATTGTCTACTGCTGCTACCACTAATGATGAGTACACAACTATTTCACTAACTGAGGAAGTATCGACTGAGGCTACACCAATTGATGGCATCACCACCATCATAGTTACTGATGATGAATCATCTACTCCTGCTACCACAAAAGATGAGTTCATAAATATCTCAGGATCTGGTGGAGTATCTACTGAGGCTAGAGCAACTGATGGCATCAACACCAGTATTATTACTGAAGACGAATTGTCTACTGCTGCTACCACTAATGATGAGTACACAACTATTTCACTAACTGAGGAAGTATCGACTGAGTCTACACCAATTGATGGCATCACCACCATCATAGTTACTGATGATGAATCATCTACTCCTGCTACCACTAAGGATGAGTTCACATCTATCTCAGTAACTGAGAGAGTATCTACTGTGGCTACAGCAACTGATGGCATCACCACCATCACATATACTGACGACGAATCATCTACCGCTGCTAGCACTAAAGTCAAGTTCACAACTATTTCACTAACTGAGGAAGTATCTAAAGAGGCTACAGCAACTGATGGCATCACCACCATCATATATACTGATGACGAATTGTCTACTGCTGTTACCACTAAAGATGAGTTCACAACTATCTCAGTAACAGATGGGGTATCTACTAAATTCACAGCAACTGATGACATCAACACCATTATAATTACTGAAGACGAATTGTCTACTGCTGCTACCACTATAGATGAGTACACAACTATTTCACTGACTGGGGGAGTAGCTACTGAGGCCACAACAATTGATGACATAACCACCGTCATATATTCTGACGAATCATCTACTGCTGCTGCTACCACTCGACATAAATTCACAACTATTTCAGTAACTGAGGGATTATCTACTGAGGCCACAACAGTTGATGGCATCACTAACATTATTGTTACTGATGACCAATTATCTACCACTGATACAACTGAAGATGAGTTCACATCTAGTTCACTAACTGAGGGAGTATCTACTGAGGCCACAACAATTGATGGCATCACTAACATTATTGTTACTGATGACCAATTATCTACCACTGATACAACTGAAGATGTGTTCACATCTAGTTCACTAACTGGGAGAGTATCTACTGAGGCCACAACAATTGATGGCATCACCACCATCTTATATACTGACGACAAATCATCTACTGCTGTTACCACTATAGATGAGTTCACATCTAGTTCACTAACTGAGGGAGTATCGACTGAGTCTACACCAATTGATGGCATCACCACCATCATAGTTACTGATGAGGAATCATCTACTCCTGCTACCACTGTAGATGAGTTCACAACTATCTCAGTAACTGACGGAGTATCTACTGATGCCACAATGTTTGATGACATTACTGCCCTAAATTACACTACTGTTGTTGGAAAATCTACTACGCCTCAAGACACATTTTCTGTAGAGTCTACTACAGAGCAAATTACTAGCACCATATTTACTACGGCAACGCAAGACCAGTTCTCCTCAGAACCTGCAATTGCCACTGCTATGGTGACAATACATGGAGCATCTGTTGCTACAACAACTGAAGTTAATTTCTCCACAGAATCAACCACTGCACTTGTTACTGCTACCCATACGGTGACTTCGCATGGAGTGTCTACTTTTACAACCACTCAAGATCAGTTCACCACAGTCTCAACTACTGAGCCTACACTGACAACACATACAGTGCCTACCGTTACAACAATTCAAGGTCTGTTTTTTACAGGGTCAACCACTGATCTCATAACTGACACAGAAATGGTGACAACATTGGAGCATCCCATTACCAACATCGTCTCAAGTCCCGGTTCCACTTTATCAATGGCGACGTCGATTCCTGTCACGTCTACCCGGTCAACGCCGGGAACAAGTGACCCGTCTACTGTGGAGATGATTACTTTGGAATTATGCAATTTGGAATGTATGCATGGCATTTGCTCATTTGACAGTAATAACGAACTCACTTGCATCTGTGATGATGGATATGAAACACAGCGAGGGAAAGCAAAGCTGTGTGTTGGTAAGTTTGTATTAGATGCATTTCACAAGTTTCAACACACATATTGTTCCTACATAATTTATCATCAGTGTCCGTCTCACGCCTATTTTATCACTTCATTGCAGATATAAACGAATGCAAGGGGAAAGTATGTGACCGTCCCAATGAAAGGTGCATCAACACAGATGGCAGCTACACATGTGAATGTAAGCCTGGCAGCGCCATTAACAAAGATGGGGATTGTCAGAGTAAGCATATCAGTTTATTTGTGAAATAAATAGATAGAGATAACGTGTAAAAGTGTATATGCTCATACAATCTATCCAGCTATTTCATACTGTTTTTTTCATGTGTATTGGCATTGTCTTTTCTGTCGTTCTTTGACTTGTAATAATGGTAAAATATGTTTGTGCGCTCACAGAATCCCGCCGACACCAAGGCGAATTCGTAATTACAGCGATTGATGGTGAACCTGCAGTGTTCAACGATTCTTTGAAAGACCCTTCATCTTCTTACTTTAAGGAAACCGCCGCCCTCATTGAAGCATCGGTAAGATAACGATAATATGATGTTATAATACAACTCACTTCACGCAACCAGCAGGGAGTGTATAATGTTAACCACAGATCCCTTTGACAGTAACTCTCTATCTACATCGATGGTCGCAAACCGAAACTGGTTGTTTAAGGGAGACCTTATAAAAGTGATATTGAGATGAGTTGTTTACAAATACAATAACAATATGTTTTCCTAACTTACAGATTGATTTGGTGTACAACAACGACGCGCGTACAGCGGGTTCATACATTATCTCCAAAGTTGACAGTTTCAGAGAAGGGAGTATTATAGCAGAATTTCAAACAGACATCGTCTATGAATCTTCACTGACGTCTGACGACATGTATATGATCTTAGAAACATTTGCACAGAACAGCACTTTTCTAACTAAAAGCAACTCCTCCGTAGCATTTCCACTTGTATTCGAGAAGCAGACTGTTATATTTGGGGGTAAGTCAGTCAATAACAAGCAATGATATCTGTGATTTGTATTAATATATAAGGCACGACGAAACTAATAACTCCAGACGTCATAACTCGCCTATTGCCTGGTTTATATAGGAAAATCAACATAGTCATTGCAGTTGCCAGTTGAACAGTATTCGGTATAATCTGAACAAATTGAAGGATTGAAAAACATAGAAAATTGTGTTGACTTTCACTCTTGACCAAAGTTCACTGATTATCTAATTCTCTTCTCTTTCTCTTCAGATTATTTGGAATGTTCATATAACTTCACAAACGACTGCTCGTCACATGCTCTATGTGCTGAGATTGACGGTTCATTCAATTGTTCCTGTAACCCAGGTTATGATGACGTATCATCAGAGGCTGATGGGGCAGGAAGAGATTGCGTTGGTGAGTTGATATTCGTGCGTTTTGATGTCTCGTTGCCCGAATACATCATCAAATCTGCCGCTATTGTTTTTATTGTCGTTCGCAGATAGTCGTGATGTAATCAAATACATAGTCCTCTAAATATGCATCTACAACTTAGCAGGTGAACGCCTGATTTGGAGTACAACAAAATCTTGTAAAATGTGCATGTGTCCCATCATTGTATTTATTGTATGAGATTAATTGTTGTTGTTTAGCTTTGTTCGAAAAATAGGCTATATTATTTTTTGCAGAGATATGTCCATATGAGTTCTGTCACAACGGTGGAACCTGTATCGGTGATGCAATGCAGAACCGCGAATGCATGTGAGTAATAGGATATAGATAATTTGCTTAAACCAATGCTTTTGAAATGTTATGTTATTGTGCTGTAAACCTTATTTTCATAATGGTTTTTACTACGAGAGATACACTTAGTGATACATAGATACAAGTTTAGATTGATATAGTTTAACTGTTTACGTTTATTTTGCAGATGTCCACCTGGTTATGAAGGCGAAACATGTGATATTATAGTATCAAAAGCAGCGGATGGTACGTACCTTAAAGTTGTATTCGATCTATGAAATAGGGGCTGAAAATATACGTTAATTTTGCTTGTTCCGAAATAGTTTTACCCAGCATAAAAGGTGTTTTACATGAGAAAAACTGCAAGGAAAAATATAAATCCTCGTTAAAGCATTATTCTATAAAAATATCTATCAATATACATTCCTTAAAAAAAATATGGTGATTATTGACGGATGCTAAATCCATGTTTTGTCTGCAATCTGTTTCTCTGACCACACATTTTGTGTGCTTTTTGTGAACACTGGGATAAATATCTAACCACAGTCCCGGGATAGAGGGACTGTGATCTAACCATATCGTAAAAGCATGGGATCCAACACTTTTAACAGCTTGTTATGCGGCGAATTTTGGTCATAGATTATGTGACTAATTGAAAAAGAAAAACAATTACATTGTTGTTGTTTTGGTGGTATCCTTGCTGCTGTTGTCAATGTGAAACTTACTCTTTATTGGTTATTCCTATCTCATTTCATTTTCAGGCTTAACTATATACGAGATAGGGGCCATCGTTTTAGGACTGGTGGCAGGTGTCTTGCTGGTTGCAGTCATACTATTCGTGGTCATCTGGAGGTGCTGTCTTTATCGACGTAAAGACTCCATAAAAACACAACGCTCTCGGCTCGCATGGAGATCGCCCTCCACGGGGTACGACATCAGCATGCCTTGGGGGACTATCTTTGATTTCGAGTCAGGCTGGGAGTCTAATAGTATGACGTCACATCGCTTGGCAACCCCAAGTGTTCACAGCACTGAGGTCGTGTACGAGGAAGAGAGAAGGATGGCGCTCTTTGCAGAGATGATGAAACATGTAACGCGCGAGGGCGTAAGTGCCATATACACCTTGATCGTTTAACGACCACCACTATATTTAGACTAGTATGATTAACGACAATTAAAATCAAACTTAACTAAAAGTATATAGTAATGAATGCATGCTTCATTTATATTATTTTACCTTACTTTCCATTTAATTGTAGCAGCGGAGAGGTCGTTACAAGTTCGATGACCGAGGTGCAGTGTTGCGCTTACCAGAAACAGAGTTTATCAGACCTTTCTACGCGACGGGTGAGGAGGTAAGTATTTTGTTTTCTCCAATTCTCGAATATTCTACCTGTTTTAAAATGTTGGGATTGTTTCAAAATACCTTGTTGGTTTCATGATATGTGTGGTAACATTTCAAGTTAATTTTTTTTTAAATATTTGTAAGTAGTAAGTAGTAAGTAAGTACAATTAACTTTAACAATATTATGCCAGGCATAAAATTTGCATGTCACAATATTCGGGACTAAAAGTTTTTGATTTTTAAAAATCTACAGGAAGAAACTCTATCAAGGTCGGATATTAGCTACGATCAGTCGTCTTTGACAAGGACGCCGCCAACGTTAGTTTCCAAAAGAACAAACGAACACTTTTCCCGACCGCTGGATTTCAGTAGGCTGAACATACCCAGAGCGAGGCTTGTACCAACCGGTACTTCTCATACATATGACACTTCACGGGTAAGACAACTAACGTCTGTATTCGGCAGCGACAAATTAAATCGTCTTTATGCTAATTAAATATCGAATACAAATCATTATGAGTCCACTCCGGTTGCACTTAAAGCGCGGTGGTCGTCGCGCAGCGCGTGTTTGAATTTCATGTAAACAATGTATTTAACACGCGTTTTGTATACGTCGCTATGAGTCCCATATCGAACAGGGCGCGGCACGACGACCCTCCGCTCTTTAAATCTTGGTGATACGACCTCTTGCGCCTCAAAATATACTCTACGGATACAAGGACAATATCGACATATGTGGATTCAACGATTCGGAATTTATTAAGTGTTCAGCTCTGTTTTTGTAATCGTATGGTACATTTCAATATAATCCAATCGGGCAGCCGATTTAAAGTGAGTGTGTCCACCAATGAGGCCGCAGTAATTCTTGCAGAAAATTGAAATGGTTCATGACTACAACGCATTTAAAATACACTGTTTGTTTACACATAATTTAGACACGGGGTTTTACCACGAGTTGAAATGAACATCCAACCAATTAACAAATGTGCTCTAAATCTCGCGTTATCTTGTAGGGTGAATGGATTCAGTCAAGTGACAGTTCCAGTGGTAGGAGGTCCGAAGTTAGAGGTCTGTATCGAACGTGACGACGTCCAGATCATAATATCGCCAATGGCAACGATCGTACGAATCAAGTGGTCTTTGAAAAAAGAATCCGTGGATGCTGATTTTGTGAGAATTCGGTACCCTCCTCGATATTGAAGAATAATCTAAAATACTGGTAATAGTGATTTATAATATTTTGTAATGAACATTGCTTTGACAATTATATCAATGGTGCTCTCGTTGCCTTTTTTATTTGTCTGAACGTAATAACATTTAAAAATCATTTTTGTAGAATAATCGACAATCGGTAGTTATTTCAAGTAAGCACAACCATATTTAAAAAAAAACATATTATTTAGTGAGATATAGATTGTATTATTGTTTTTATATGTAAAACATGTATTTTTTTATCAAGTTTAGTCAAAGTTATTCTTGAATTGTGCCTTATTATGTTATAAATTATGAAATTTATTTCTAAGCTGTTGATATTTTCGTCGTGCTATTTCCATCATATTATGGCGTGTGATACAAAACATTGACGTATGGTTGTTTCCGTCCAATTATACCACACGGATAGGCGGTGCTCACACAATTCTAATTTTATATTATATTGTGTGAAGTTATTAACATTTCAATTGATATAAGTCAGTTAACTTTTCACGAATGAATTATTTTAAAACGTTGTTTACTTTAATATTAAATCAGCAATTGAAATAATGAAACCATTTGCTGAACAAATGTGATACGTTAAATATGTGAACAACTTTATAAGTGCGGGTAATATCGTTTACGCAATAACGATCAACGTGCAAAGTGGGTGGGTATTTATAAACAAGAAATGTATTTTTTATTTTGGTTAAAAATGGTTCAGTTTAACAATTGACCGTTTCATAAATGTATATATTTTTATTAATAAAAACAAATTTGTATATATATTATTTGAATCGTATTATTCATATAAACACGCAGGCTCCAGCGAATAACTGAAGCGTCGTTGTAACATGATTCCTGATTGGACAAACTTATACCTGTGTTTGTCATTGCGGTTAGAGCGTTCTGTGGTCTTATTTCTTTCAGCTGACTCAGTCCATACCACCAAACTCACTGTATTATACAGATCAGCGCCCCGTGTGAATGCCTGATTTCAAAGCACGCTAATAGATGCCCACTGGTGTATCGACTCCTTTCTCTCATTCCAGAGCTTTTTGCTTATTCAAATTGTCGTTTACTTCCCCTTCTGAATGAAACAAATTCTTTACAGAGCGGAAATCAGTAACAAATGTGCGGTCAACTTATGAATATTTCAAGAGTCCTTTCGCCATCAAAGCATTAGGAGTACGAGCGCCCTCTGTAATACAACTTGAAATCTGAACAATACGCGTGAAATCGGATGAAAGGAAAGAACGCTATTAACTTACTAAAAGACGTAAAGCGATTTATCATTTTTTTTTTAAATTATTGTAATAACGTGCCATGAATTTCAATGCCACGCAATCCCTAGATGTAATAAGCAAATACAGACCCGTACAAAACGTAATCACAGGCATGGTATATTCATGAAGTGACATATTGTGTATTTGTCACATCTACTAACAACTATTATATGTTATTCTCATATATAATCCCACAATGATCAAATACGAGCACTGAGTAAAATATGTTGATGCCAGTCAAGTAAAAATTACCTCCCTAGCTAATGCTAAGCACAATGGCAACCTATGTCATCACCATGGTAACGTCCATCAATTTATCGTCAGCCACTCTCGCTTAAAGTTAAATTTAGCGGCCGCTAACGCCCATAGGTCAAACGGGGCCATGGTGTTTGTTATTGGAAATCGTCATATGTTACACACGCCATGTTGTCACCGAGTGTCGGATTCATGCCTATTTGTGATTAAAAGACGTCGGCCGATGTTCCACTGTTATTGTCGGCACTAGGAATCAATTCAGCATATACGGGAGTGGCTATTATATAGTATGCATGCGCAGTGACGATTTGTGCCACCAGGAAATGTCTCGAACTGGAGCTGCGTGACACTAGGAAAGACAGATTATTCGCCCTCTGTCGTTACTCAGCGTTGGATCCATACACTGGGTTGCATATATATACAATGTCTGCGCCATTTCGAGTTTGGATTGCCGTAATATTATATATATCATTGGTATCGATGCAGGTGCTTCCTTCTGCGGGTAAGGGCGGTGTTTTATAGTCGTTTGGGCTCAGACTACTAATTCATTTATGCATCAGTAGTCTGAGGTTTGGGTCATCATTCACTCCATGGGTACACATGGGTGTTCAAAAACGTACGGTAAATTTAACAGCCAGCAGTAGCGGAGGTGGTGGGCATTGTAATTAAGTATGAATGAAGTAGACCTGTTGATTTCACTACATCGGATGGTGCAATTCATTTTACGTTGGAATATTGTATTTGGCGTGGTTTGCTTTGTCAATAAAAGCTGTATTGTTCAGCCGTCGACAGCTGTTACAAAGAATAGGATAAATAATTTCCCTTTTGGGTATTTCAATACGCAAATCATCCATTAACGCGACAGTTTATTTACCGAACGCGAAAAATAATAATATAATTCGAAATTACGTAAAATTGCTTTAAGAAGTCAATGTTGCATTCCCTCTAGTTATAATGTTTCATCCATGCTCTGACACATTTACATTTATTCCTGTTTCTGAGGCAATATGTCAATAACTTACCATATGCAATCAGTATTAACGGTGTGTGCAATAATTAAACTGCCGACTAAAAAAAAACAATTCAGAAATCCACTGATTGGCCATCAATTTCGGTATATGTCAATGATTTGGATGACATCACATTCAGAATTATTTTACTTTTAAATAATTTAATTGTCTCTTAGAGAATCGAATACTAC